AACACAGATTCATCCCCAACAGCCTGCGCCTGTCTTCAACAGTGAAGGGACACAGGGCAGAAAACATCCTGCAGCCAAGAAGGATCCACACATATTTGCACTATTCATGTGACCCTGAGGTCACAGGTAAACCTCCAAATGGCTTCAATGACTCTCTAAAAGAATGCAAATGACCAGCTGTCTGCAAGGAGTATAAATCCTGCCATTCCCTACCATCCAGTCAGAGCTGAAGAAGCTTCTTGGATGAAAAGCAAAACTTCTTCAAGAAAAACAAGAAAGTCCAGTTGTCCCTTGGAAAAAAGCACCTTTGGGACAATTCTCTAAGTGGTATTTGATACAGCATGAAAGTGTTGTGGGATGGGACTCCCCAAAGTGCTTGCTCAATTCCTTGCTCTAAGAGATCCTTTCTCCAAGGGATCAAAGGGGAAGGGATGAGGCTGCCAGCTGCCAATTGTTAAAAAAAGTGGCAACCCCCTCCCCAGCAGTGGTCAGTGCAAGGGCCCAATGCTTTTAGCTTCCCAATTCCTCTAGTGATTCACATTGGGAAATTTTTGCATTGCAAAATATTTCCACAGAGAAGTCGCAGCTTCCAATGGAAACAGTTTACTTTGGAGCTCATTTAGATTCCACTTCTGAACAGAGACAATAAAAAAACTCACTGAGTAAATCAATATTTCTCTGTGCTTTTGAACGACCTCTTTCCTAATGATAGGAAACTCCACCACATTTTGCATTCCACTAGGTACATGCTTTCTAATAATTACACCCGCCAGAAGGCTTTCCTATTATGTTTTCATTGTCAGCACTACTTTTCCACTAGTTCTAGGTGAAGGGGTAGTGCAGAACCCACGTTCCCCAACCCACTGCACCCACTGCATAGTTGCTGACAATGTAATACTCGTTCAGCAACTGATTATAATTAAAAATATCAGAATAATTAAAGTCTTCAGTTTGACAAGCAGAGCCATAACTTTGCCTTCAGACATTCCTCTCTAATTAGTTAATTAATCCTAATGCAAATTATAAGCAATAATTAGTCAGCCAAGCTTGACAGGAAAGTCTGCTGATTTAACAGTGGAAAAGCTTCCCATTTATTGGGTTATGCCTACTTTATGTTCTTTTGTGTCCAATTGTGGTGGGTCTATGGTTAATCCACTTGGTATAGGTTCAAGTGAAGGGTAGAAATATGCTCCTAGTGTAAACTGAGGAGGGATCTCTTTTGGGTAGAAAATGAAAGCATTGCTATCACAGGCTTGAGATTTGTGTCTTATCAAAGATTCCAGATCACTTTTAGAGACAAAGAAATGGTCTTCATTTCAGGAGATTGTTGGAAACTTGCTCTCTATCTCAGAACTTTTAAAGCAGCTAAACTGAAGATCTGGCCTAAAATTGCTTCCAAAGCAACTAGTAAAGGAAAAGCATTTAAACCTGTTGTCGTAGCACTGTTGACTCTTTTCATGATGTCTTCAACCTAGGATTAAACGTATATGCCCTGTAACAAGGGGTCCATAAAAATTTCATCTGATTTCCTAAAAAGGCCATTACAATCTCTGCAATCCCCCATAGAATTTTTTGAGAATCAAAACAATTTCATGGAACACAAATCATTGCCACAGACTATTTAGGCAGGTAATATATCATGGCATTGTGTTGGAGGTCTTCTAGTCCAACTCTATGCTCAAGCAGGGGACTCTATTCTATTTCAGACAAATGGTTGTCCAACCTCTTCTTAATAACCTCCAGTGATGGAGCACCCACAACTTTTGAAGGCAAGCCATTCCACTGATTAATTGTTCTCGCTGTCAGGAAATTTCTCATTATTTCTAGGTTGGTTCTCTCCTTGATTAGTTTCCATCTTGTTCTGCCTTCAGGTGCTTTGGAAAATAGGTTAATCCCCTCTTCTTTTTTTAATCACATTTTATCCCATTTTGCAATATATTTTGGATTGTTTGGGATGAATTATCTCACAATGAAGACAAAAGAAGTTTGTTTCATATTTGCTGTCAATAATACAAAACATCAATGACTCAGATCCTTCTTTTGGCCTTTCCAACATCAAATTTCCTCATTGTCAAAATGACCCAGCTTTGGAGGCTGCAGAACATGAGAGAGTTTTCCTGAGATTGGGAAAAATCAGGAAAAAAATCTGTAACCCTGAGGCACCATCATACCAACCATAGTAATGCAGTATTAGGTTATTTAAATATTTTCAGTTCTTCAGCTGAAAAGACTCCCAGAGGATTTTAGCAATCAAGAGAAGAATGGGAGGAGATAAATGAAATGAGCAAAAAAGTTACTGCGATTAGGTTGACAATTAAAATGCATATGAGCATATAAGCATATAAGATGCAATGCTTGAGCAGGGTCTGCAGGATTGTCTGGGATGCTACACATCCTCTTCACAACCTGTTTTCCTTGTTACCTTCTGGGAGGAGGCTTTGTGGTATCCGAAGCAAAACATCTAGATTCAGTCAGAGTTTTGTTCCATATATCATCAACCTTGTAAAATCTCAAATTTCCTCTTTCTGCTATGTATTCAAAATGAACAGTGGTGGGTAGATATATACTTTGTTTTGAGAGCAGACAACAGAATTTCATTTTTAATGAGGACCAGTGTGCTCACAGTAAAAAATTACAATAAAGGTTATCTTATCTCATCTGATCTGATCTGATCTTATCTTGTATCTTATCTGATTTTCCTTTTATCTTATCTCTTATCTCATATCTCATATCTTATCTCTTAAAATGTCACATTCGGGAAGGGAAAGGAACTCAGTCACTAGCTTTTAAAGTTAAAGAATTCTTCTGATACAAATAGTTCAGGAAAAGAACCAAGAAGTACTTGAAGTTCATATTGGGTAATGTTAATAATGCTTGCAGTAACATTAATTCATCCAGTTTATTGAAACTTTGAATCAGAGTTTGATCTAATGGTTGATGCAAACTGTTTATTCAGACTTATTATTTTCTTATTACTCTTCATTTTTATGTCACAGTTCAGCTGTGCAGCTACATTGTACAAGATTTTCTTCTATACCATAATCACTTCAGTGCTGAATATAGCCTGAAGCTTTCAAGAGCTAGCCATTTTCAGTGGAAATCTGGCTTTGCTTTGGGTTCAATAAGCAGTTTCGTAGCTTGGGCCAATACATTATGATCTTCCAAAATTATCTATGTTGCTGGGAATCATGATTTATATCATAGATCCAATATGTACCTAGTATATACTTGCTTACTTAGCAGTTTTACTAATTTCCTTAAATCTCATGCATGTCTATGTTATATGCAACATTCATTATTTAGTTTGGTAAAAACCATTCAACTGCTGGGAAACTGGGAAACTGATTACCAGAGCTAATCTGACAACATCAAGTGGGCTAAATCTGCATAGTAGTGATGGTATAAGCCTTTCCCAGAGAGGTGCTTTTCAAATGTATAAAGACTCCTAGAATTCTTAGATAACATAACTTTCAATCATGTTGGTAGTCCCAAAAGACTTGTGGCTGCCGCATTGGGAATGGTGAGTAATTAATAGAAGACCAGGTTTAATAATAAGAGGTATAAGTGATCGTTGTTGTTGTTGTTGTAAAGGTAGTAGATAAACCCTTATGGAATGTGCCATCCAATAAGGATGGCTCATCTTAATCATGACAATACTTACAAATAAAGGAAATTCATGGGGGGGGTTTACCTCTCATAGAATACAATATTTTTTTTCAGCAGTTGATTTATTTATGTTTATTTATTACATTATTATAGTTGTAGTATACAACTTGGGTAGTGACTTTGGGAGGCATACAAAATCATATAGTCCAAAAAGTTTTTAAAAAATAGAAAACAAAATGGCATACAAACAAAAGCATTCTATTATATAGCTGATGTCAGAATCTAATTATATTTCATCTCTAGTTATCGACTATGGAAAACCCCATTTCTGCCTCTCTGGATTCTGCATACTACGAAGGGGAAGGGGGATGAGCAAAGGGGTTTTATGGCTTTCACTTCCTTCATTACAACTTCAAAGGAACTGAATGTGGATATCACCAAAAGGACTAACCATAACAAAAGGGCCTATCAGCTTTCATCTACTCCTCTCTGAAGTCTCCCTTCCACCGGCCGTGAGGAAAAAGGGGGTGGAAATGTCACTGGAAGGACGGTGGGGTGGGAGAGCTGCTTGAGACCACTTAAAACCTTGAATGGGAGGGCTTGGGCCCCAGGTCCTGTCTAGAACACCTGCAACCATCTTCTCTTAATAAAGATGCCTGTTGGAAGAAATATTCCAAGAGTTCTGTCTTCTTAAGATGCAAAGTGGGGTGGGTCCTTACAGCTATCTGGCAGGCTCAACTCATGGGATATTACAGCATGCCAAGGCCAGTTGATGAAACCATGTCTTAGGGGTCTTCTGGAAGGCCAATGGTTGGGGCCAGCCTCAGTTGGGGAGAACGATTTCCACAGGACAGGGGTCACAGCAGAAAAGATTTTCTTCCAGTAGGTCCCACAACATTTCTCTTCTTCTGGATCCTGATGGGATGGATAGACGTGATCTATATTTTCATTAAAAAAAATTCTTGGGAACCTCAATTGTCCTTTTATTCCAACATCAGGATTATCAATACTGCTTTGCTAATCCAAATCAGTAGGTCAAAATTAGTAGCAGCAGCAAAGGAGAATGAAATGTTATCTGTCATTCCCACAATATCCTTGGCAATTCTGCCAAAACCCATAGATCACAGCTTTTGTCAAAGATGCTTCCTCATACCCTTAGTCTGGAACTCACCATGTGCCTTCCCTTTAGTGTTAGCTTGCAGATTATACCTGCTTTCCTTACTGAATGCCACCCAACTGTTCCAGAAATTCAATATCTTCTTACCAAGTGATTAAGCAAAGAAGGTCAGAACTCACCAATCACTTGTGCCATAGAGAAATTCATTGCACTTGACTTTAGCAGCATGAAGGAATGCAGGTAGATTTTTACAATATTGACTAATAATAGTACTCACGTGTAAAAATGTACACAAGTTGTTTTCGACTATAGCTACAGACTCTGAAGATTTCTTTGTAAATAAGCAAGAAAACAATGCTCTCTTTCATTGCAGAACTATGCAGTGAAAATCTCTTCAAGCTAATGTTTAATAAATATTTCTGTTATCCAGCAGTCATTTTGAGAATCATTAACCTAAAATAGGTCTAGGCTGTGGTTAGTATTAGCACTTGCTTTCCTTGACATGTTTAAGGTATTTTGTAAATAGTTAGATATGTGGTAGGAAAAAATGTAAACCTAAAATCCTCAACCTTTAAGGATTTTTTTAGAGAATATGAAGATCCAAATACATCATTCATTTTGTAACTATTCAGCAATCTGAATAAACTGAACATAAGTAGAACTAAGCTTAATTTTGTTGAGCATTTGTGTTTATATTGGAGTTTCCACTCTTCTGGTCTTCAAGGGCATGTTTAGGGAAGACTGAGTTCTTAGAAAAAACACATATGTATAATATAAGGGGTTACACAATTTTGAAACATTTCCAAACACAAGATTATCGAATCATGTGGCATTTTTTTCAAAGAAAAAATATATCTTTTTCAGTTATTTTGACTATTATATATAGATTCTAACTGTACTGAAATAAACAGCAAGGATTCTGAAAATAAAACATAAGCTATGTTTGCTTTCCTTTGTTTACTATACCCTCCTTTTAATGATATATCTGAGTACCAGCCTGAGACCCTTAGTTCAAGGAAAAGGTGGGAAATGTTATGGGTTATTGAACACCCTACTGGTTTTTACTGACAATCAGCAAACTACTATTTAACACAGGTGTTTCATTAGGGCACATTGCTAGATGAATGGGCAGCATTAATGGCCCTCCAATTTCCACCTGCGCTGTAGACAAATACTAGCAAACTCAGCAGGATATGAGAATGTTGCAAGGCTTCCATTTAATGTGCACTAAGTCCCAATTAGGATATTAGATCTCAGCCAAAAGACAAAACCTTTTAGTGGCTTGTAATATATTTAATTGTAAGAAAACTGTAAGAACTATTCTAGTTCAATTGTCATATCTTTGATAATCGTAAGTCAAATGAAGGCGAGTAAAAAGCAAGGGCAGTTGCAAGCAAGGTAAAGTCAAACAAGTTAAGATGGCAGCTGCAGTCATGCAATAAAATCCCTGCCTGTTTTTTTTTTTTTAATTTGGGACATATTTACAAAGGCAGAACTTTAATCAAACTTTTTTGACCATCACCTGATGACACCACAAGTTGCAATCATTCACACCTATACTATCAGTGTAGCGAAACTCTTTATAATGTTATAATAGGTGTTCTGCTTCTTTATGTATTTTGATATTTGTTTCAGGGCTTTTCTAATTGGGAGTAGTTTATTTAACACAGAGATGTGCCCATTTCTTTTATTGTATGCCTTTCTTCTTTTCACATTTAAGGTAACAAAAGGGGGATTAAAAATGACCCAATTATTGCTGATGATTAATTTATGTGGTACAGTTTAATAAACACATGAATGCTGATGGCAGGGAAACCTAAAATTCCACAGCCCTCAATAATGCATACAGAAATGAGGGATAGTCAATACAGAGGGTTATAAATATTATAGCCAAAAAAGAATAGAAAATTAAGCAAGCCACCTTCCAGGTTCTGACATTTAGACAAATGCTCATTGATAGATACTATAACATTGTGAGTTACATTGATTAATGGTGGTCAATTAAACAGGTGGAGAAATCCCTAGTGAAAGAAACAGGTCCGTGCCCTTCACCGTAGGTCCCCCTGCTAATAGTGAGTATAAAATATATATTATATATTTCTAAGTGATATGCTTTAATGTCTAGCTGGTTAATTCTGAAGTATTGCGGATAAGACAAGTCTGAGATTTTTGCTATCCTTTACCCTATTTCCAATCCCTCGGTATTTGAGGAGGACTTACTACCTTATTTCCAAAGCATCAGTAGTGCAGGCCCATCTGAAGAAGGAAATTTCAAAGCCTATGCTGCTTTACATTCCAGTGGTGGGGAGCAATCTGCTCACAAGGAAATCTTCCTTCATTGATTACTCTTTCCTCTGTGCAAGAATCCAGAGCCAAAGCCACAAAGAGATACAGAGGCTGAAACCCGATGAACTCTGGGATCACAACCGAGTCTGCAGATGAGTTGAGCACTGAGACCAGCTCTGCCAGGTCTCCCACCCTGGCTACAGCACATGTAATATCGAACTCATGTTTATTTAATGCATGTAAAAGATTTTATTATTTACATTTAAATATTTATGACATTTTTCATAAGGAGCTCTTCCCCTCCCTTGCAGAAGAAAAACTTTATCTTGTGCCCTTTAGGAATGAAGCAATTTCATTTTACTAGGTAGATTTTATTCCATATAAATAATTGACACTGCAGGAAAAGGGGCCCTGATCTATCATTCCACCTTTATGCTGTTTCCTAAGTGAAAAGGTAATAAAACTAACAAGCTCACCCTTCTGTGCTGTCTACCCCAAAAGCAAAAGTCTAATACAATGGGCAGGAAATGAAAGGATTAAGCAATAACAAAGAAAATATTCTAAAAATCATCTCTGTTTTAAAAGCCTGACATGCAAGGTGAGCTTATGTGAAGCAGAGTTATAGTTTTTTCCGGATATTCAGTTATAGCATCTGATTCAATTTATGGTCCTAGAGGTATAGATCCACACAAGGTTTTTCTTAATCTACCATGCAGATATATACTAGAATATATATGTAAATACCTGTTAAGGCAAGTAGCAGATATTTTCAGTATTAAAGAATAAAATCTCAGAATATCATAAGAACATGCTGCATTTGAATTGTAGATTTTTGCTTTCTTGATTCAGCCCCATCTATTATAACATAGGGTTAGCCTTTCCTTTAGAAAGTGTGCAATGATGGGTACAAAAGAGAATTATGTGCTGTGTTGCCTATATGACATCCCTTAAGCTCACCTGTTGTCTTCAAATGCAGTGGAGACACTGTCCCATCATCAACAAAAAAGAAAACAATCAATAGCCGGTCACCTTAGTTTATAGAATGGGACCAGGTCCAATCTTGTCCTTCATCTCAGGTACCAAAAGGTTTTGGATCATCTTTTCTGCAATGAAATGTTGGATCTTCAGTCACTGGCTTTCATCTAGTTCATCTGATGCTTATTAATGTCAGAACAATATCTAATCTCTCTTATCCATGATCTGAATCCAGAGGAGGTTGCCAATCCAGAGGTTACATTACTGAGGCACAGTTTAAAGATATAGGAGACTATACAGAAGAGAGGGGGAGAAAGAGAGAGGGAGAGGGAGGGAGGGAGAGGCATTTCATGATAAGGTATACCAAACTGAATGCCATAAGGCAGAAGCAACAAAGAGTAGCAGCTTCATCTTGTATTTATCAAGTCAGACTTTTACTGAAAAGAGTGAGTCCGAAATTAGGATGGTGACATAGGCCAATGAAAATGTAATAATTTGCAAGGAAAATGTAGAGTTTTTGAAGAAATCTTTTTATTTTGTCCCTGCACTGCTTTTGATCTATATAATCAACTAATGAGATTTCCACTTCTCCAGGCAATGAGATAAGTTACTGTCTGTGAAGATTTGTGGCAGATACTCTCAGCCACTATTAAGAAGTATTTTTACAGCACAGCACATTTAAACAAATATTAAATTCATACAATTGTTAATCAGTGTGCCATCTGGAAACATTTGAAAGTTTAGACTCTTAATTGCTTGAATCTCATAAATGCTCAAAACTGTGGTATACTACAGGCTATAATGCACTTAGGATTTTTTAAACTGTATAAATACATGTCATTAAACGGGGGCCCTGAACACCTTTTAGCAGCTGTGCAGGCTGCAAGCATCGCTCCCTGATTCATCTTGAGGTGCTTGGCACCAGGGTCAGCGACATGTCACTACATCTGAATCTTGCCCTTTGACAAAGCATCCATATTCTTTTTCCAAATTCTTTTCATGTGACTGACAGTTAAATCCATTTCTTCCCCAGGCCACTGTTTAAATTCCTCTTGTACTTGTAGAAGCAGGTTTGCTGGCTCAAGAATTTTTTCTTAACTTTGCCTTTAAGTCTTGTCAATGGGAAAATGTGGACAAGGCATTCAAATTTATCTTTCAAACATCCATGTTGGTATCCAATAGGGCTGTTTTTATTTACTTGTCAAATCAAAGAGCAATCACTTTTGTAGATTTTTCAAGAGGTGTCATATGGCATGGTGTTTCAGAAAGTAGAAACAGTTAAGCTGGATAGATCAGTGTAGTGTCCGAAAATATTGATGATAAAAGATACACCCTTAAGGAATTCTCGATATATTTTTTCTCTGCCCTGATGCATATTGTAATTAGTTACTACTGATCCTTTGTTTTCCAATATTTTGAAAGCAGAGGGTCAGGTTTTCTTGCATTAAAATGGACTGCCTACCTCAGGGGTGTCAAACTTGCCACATCACGGGACATGGTACAACATATTGCGACTTTTTTCCCATTGCCAGAATTGGGGTGGGTGCGGTTATGGCATGATGCATCTGGCCCACGGGCTGGCAGTTTGACGCCCTGGCCTACCTCCTGTGGTATTTACTCAGTCCATTCAATCTTGGTTAGCATGCTACAGCTTCAATCAGGGTTAGCATGCTAAAGCTTCCTTTAATTAAATCAGCTGGCTGGGGAATTCTGGGAGTTGAAGTCCATGCATCTTAAAGCTACTGAGGTTGAGAATCACTGGATTAAATAATGTTACCTATTGGGACTCCTGCAGCATGCCTTCTCTGCAGCTGTGCCTGAGAAGAAGTGTTTCAAAAGGCCTTGAAGATTCTGGCTCTTCTTCCAGGCCTTTAGTAAAGATGAGAGAAGCCTCTTTAAATTCTTTTTGGTTTTTTTTGGCAATTCAGTCTTGTTTTTGTTGTCTTGCTATCCTTATTCTTTAATTTTTATTCAGATTGTATCCTTTTTTGAGGTTTTTACTTTCTGTTTAGAGTTGTTTCACGTTGGACAGAAAAATTAAATAAAGTTTTTCAAGACAAATGCTATTAAATAACATAAGAGTGTATGTTACACAAAAATGAGTGTCTCTCTCATTTTC